CACGAATAAAAACTGTTAAAAAACTACAAACATGGCAGATGTGCGAGTCCGACGATTAAAGTCCCCGTGAACCGGAAGTTGCAAACGACTTTTCTCCAGTGTTGTGACGTATTTCCGAGAGAAACGGAATACTAAATGAGGCAAAATAGTGGACGTGGCTTTTTTTCCAACTAGCACCTGATTGGATCTAGAAAAGTAGGTGTTTCATTCAGCCTGTCTACTGTCAGTTGGAGGGGCGTGGTTATGGATGTTAAGCAGACACCCAAACCGTTAAGCCTACGTCATCGGGCAAGGTCCTCCAATGCAGAGGGGAGGGGCATTTTTTAAAATTTGATTAAAGATTACGAAGCCAAAAATATTTTTTGTGTGGATTGACTTGCATGGATGAATTGTTCACCACAAAACGATCAATTTAGGCAAACAAAGTAAGTATGGTCAATTTTGATTTCATGGGGACTTTAGTAGAGGTTTAGATAAAGGGGTTTGAGTGATTTTAATCAGTATCTAACCTGACGAAAATATATTTATTCAATTTGTTTGCAACAGCATTGTGAACTTTTGGAATAATACGTTTGGTCATTAACTTTTAAATGCATCATTATACAAATTGCAAACACATGAGGAGAGTCTCCGCATGAAAGACCCACGACTGGCAGATCAACAACGTGCTACTATATTTCTCTCCGAAACGGTAGAAAATTAAATGAGGATTTAAACTGTGACAAGATGATTGACAGGGCAGTTTAAACGATGACAGGATGCACATAACTAAGCGATAGAGCTGTCCGTTAAAAACGCAGTAACGACAAAGTAGTATCTCCCAAAGCCTGCCTACTAATCTGCTACACGCTCAAAAGTATGTACTTTATCTTCACAAAAACAGTACATACTTTGTTTTTTTCGATAACTCGGCACTTCAAAACGTCTTGTAATTCTCTGAGGATTCTCTATCATTTTGTTGCTGGTGTAATCCTGTGTTTTCGTCTCTCTCGTATTTACTACTACATGACATGCGTGCATCGGTGGGCAGGGCTAAAGAGGCAATGATGCAGAATTAGGCGTTGATCTTCTTATGCAGAGGTGGTCGGACTATGACGTAATAATGGGACAACATCCGAAACGAGTCGTTTTCTGAGCTTGGTTTCAATAAAAACGGTTTTTGGACTAACGAGGAAGTTTGGAAGTTCTTACAGGATAATTTTACAGTCACAATGATGACCTCTTATATGTCAAAAGATCAATTAAAATTGTATTTCTCAATTCATGACCCTTTTAAAATGAAAAATGAAAATATAATAATAAAAGCTTTAAAATTGTAAATATTAATAAATACTATTATAGCATATTAAGTTAACTAAAATTAAAATAACATTGTCTGCATATTTTTAGAAAAACAATATGCCCTCATAACAGTAAAAAATGCCACTGAAAACCAATTCCATGGGGGCAATTGTATTTGATTTTATTTTATATTTTTTCTATGATTTGATTCTCTGGAATAAAACATGCGCCAATGAGACCAGGATTGTGTATTAAAAAGGTAAATGAGTTTTTATTTCATGATGACTTCACATGTATTTCTGTGAGCACAGAAAGTATTTCAATTCTTTTTATCTTCGTCTTATCTTTATCTAAACCCTTTTTACACTCATCCCTATCCCTCTTTCCTCTCCTTTCCTTAGGGAGCTGAAGAAAGAGAGGGAGCGAACCGAGCTGTGGAGGAATTTGGAAGATCTGCATGAGAGGCGACTGCAGAGTCTGGCTGAGGCCAGCAGAAACCAGAAGAACCTGCAGGAGAGAGAGAACACTACCAAGAGCCAGTCAGAGACCAGTGCTGCCAACACCACCTAGAAACCACACGCGAACATACAGACACACACACAGACACACATACAGTGTCACAGCACTGTAAAACACAATAATTACCTGACTTGGGAACCGATCAATGCCTCAATCGCTGTCTGAAAACACACACACGAACACATGCACACACCATGCAGACACGACCGTCACAAGCACATGTACGACAGGCTGTCCATATGTAGATATCTGAAAAAACACCGAAGCACACATCACACACAACGAGTGAGATATAAAAGAGAAAAAAATGAGTACCTCTCACATGCGTCCTACTCTTTCATATGCTTCACACACCTGCCTCTCTGCATCTTTTCTTTCAATTCCTACACGCACCGGGATCATCAACTTTAACATGACTGCATGAGGTGACACACATGCGCACACTCGAAATCAAACACGTACATTGTTCATTACTGTCATTCCAGAACTGGCTCTGTTTCTCGGGCCCGATCCGAGCCCCCGTCAATCAACCAACAGACTCTGCATACTGTCAAACTCTGAAGAGGAATGAATAATGATGATCCTAAAGATGAAAATTCTTTAAAAGTACAGATTATAATGTTCCTACTTCTACAGCTTATTCTATAAGTACTACTTCTATGCTAATATAACTGATGTTTTTATATACATATATATATATATCTATATATATATCTATAAATATGATATCTCTGTCTGATTATAGTGTTGGTGGGGGTATTCTAGTGTAGCACCTCATAAACATGACTGAAGTATGCTGCTAGGTAAAACTAAACTTGTTCTGAAGTGACAACACTTTAGTCTGTTCTTATGTTTTTTATATATAACATTCAAAACATTTTAGTTTAGCAATATTCTCATCTGTTTTGAATAATGTGTGTCTGGCTATTTTTTATTTATTCTATTATTATTTATTTCATTTAATCAAATTGCTTGCAAACATTCTCTTTTTGTGTTTCAGTACAATTTCAAGAGAGGACAGAGTCTTATTTATGTCTTAATTTTTTGTATATTTGTTTTATGTCGCTTATATTTATTGATGTAGAGTATTGTTAATGGGAAGGAACTGTGTGTGTAGGCATATTGAGAAAGCTTAGGAAGAGACTGATGCGTGGATGTTGTAGAGAAGTTTATTACAGTTTAGAAGAAAACAGGGATTAGATCAGAATGTACCATTCACTTTGAGTGTGCATCAACGCTCAAATGAACTGCCATTGTTGATTATTCATTTACAGTAATCTGTCTTATTGAGAAAAGGATGAGAAAAGCTTCTTGTTCAAAAGAAAGCATCTGGATTAACACACTTTGTTTGACCTCTGAGGAAGCTGGTATCTGCAGAAACATCCCATTTCATAGGAACAAAATGGAAAAGAAAAATGAAATAGAATAGACACGGCAATAAATATGGACTGAAATTGTATGCATACGTAGCATCACTTAAACTAGAGTTGCACTGTCCTTTTGATCAATGTCTTGTGTTTAAACATAGCAATGTATTTTTGGGGGACAAGCGTCTTTGGGATAGGCCTATGAATGTATAAAAGTGGGATGTAAACATGAAAACTCAGCATCAAGAACACTTGTCATTATTTTCAATCAAAACCTTTGATACATCTGGGTTCTGTAGCCTACAGTATTTATAGCTTTTCTTCTGAAACGTGTTGATTCAATGCTGGCCCTTTCCTTTAGTTTTAGTCCAGCCGATAACATGTTCACAGCATGAAGCTGATGTCATTCAGCTCATTCCTAAAACACGAGCAGATGTTTAAAACTTGTTTGGTTAAGTTTACATGTAGTGTGTTGTAATGTTCCAGGCTAGATTAATGGGAATTGTAATTAGAGTGATGTCAGACTGTCCTATAAACGAGCTTTAAAACAGCAAGGCAGTCGCCGGTGAAGCGACTTCCCAAAAAGCTTCTGGCATCTGCTTTTGTGGACTCAAACAGGTGAGTGTGTTATTTTATTGCTATTTTGTGTAATGCTATACAGATTAATTAATTTCTCGCGTCAGTGTCATTAACGTAGGCCTATTTAATCCCAACGCGTTATCAAGTGTCTTGTCAAAGTATAAATGGAAGAGCAAGTGTCTTGATTTCATGTTAACGTTTTTACATGGCAGGCGTCAATATACTCACATGACCAGAGCGTTTCCACTTTTCCCCTCTGAAAGATGATGCCCTTCAGAAAGAACGACGATACACAGGTTTAAATTAATAACTTTAATAAGGGTTATAATGAATAACTAAGACTTTCTCTTACATTATAAAACAGGCCTTTCCAAATAGTGTTAGATTAAATGAAAAAATAAAAAATAAAAGCATTTGTTCTATTTCCCTCCCGACAGTCTCGTTTCATAAATAAATCAGTAAATTAGTTTCATAAATTATATTAATTTACATTATAGTTTGCTTTCTATTGGGTCTTACTGACAAACTGCACAACAACATCTCGGCCTATAACAAAATAATATGTAAAAAAAAAAAATCTGTTTTGCTAAATAGTGGTCATCGTTGCACAATTTTGCTTGTTCATTAGTGTGGATTTATGTTAGTTGTTATGAGTTAGTAAAGCACTTTGAAATGTAGGCTATTTTTGTGCTTGAAAAAGATGATAAATGCAACGTCATGTAGCCTATGTCATATTTATTTCGAAATAGGCATTTCTAAGATTTTTACTAGTAGCCTAATGTCTTACCATACAAAACCCCCGGAAAACCGCACGCTGGCGACGTCTGCTGGTCAAATGTATGTAATTGCAATCAGTGGACCCACTACAAGAACACCTACTTCAGGGGTCAGTTACACAGGGTGTGTATAGTGGTAAAGTAGGATAATGTCTTTATAATTATGCGTATATTGTAACATTACCACATATCAATATTATATATTTTTTGTGAAATATGTATCCTATAGCTACATACGTTTCATCATACTTTGTTTAAAGCTTAAAAGGTAGGCTTATCACTGAATAGATGTTTTTCTTTGGGGTATTTGTTCTCATTGATTAAATAGGTAATTTTTTTTATTTTTATTTTTTTAGCTAAATGGAACAGATGAGGAAAAAATAGTCCCCAGAAAACGTCTGTGAATCCTGTCCGAGATTCTCCCTAAACATAAAGATTTTTTTTTTAGCAATGCTTAAATAGTAATATCATGTTATCTTTTATGATAAGTCATCATAATGTCTTTCAGAATGTGCGTCGACCGCTTCTCAGTGACCGCTGTGACCTTTCTGCTCCTGTTTCCTGGCTTTTACTCCACCATGGCTGTGACAACCTTACAGAGTTTTCGTGGCTGCGCGGTACGTGAATTTACTTTTGCGGCAAAGAAGCCTGGATGCAGGAGTCTGCGCATAAGCACTGAGGCGTGCTGGGGCCGCTGCCACACCTGGGAGGTGATAGAAACCTGCTATAATATACTAGAACTATTAAAGGAAACCAGTACGAGAGCATGTGGGGTATATGTTTGTGTAGTGACATGTGTTCTTGCGTGTTTTGGCATCTCAGAGGCCAGTCCTGGAGCCGCCGTATATCCAGAGGCACCATAGTGTCTGCACCTACAGCCGTACACGCCACCTGACAGCACGTTTACCAGGCTGTGGCCCTGGCATCTCCCCCGTCTATCATTACCCTCAGGCCTTACAGTGTGACTGCACCTACTGCTCCTCAAACCACACAGAGTGTGAGACGTTTTAAAGGCACACACACAAACCATCTTTGCTTATTTTGCCAAAAATGATCTTGTTATGCATTAGAAATCATATATAAAAAAACCAGATTTAACAATAAAACACAGAAAATGTCATGTACTCCTTTATTTCAAAAGATTAGACACATTTTGTGCAAACATCACCTTATAAATATATATAATAGGTAAGATACATTCTTTATGTCATTAGGTGGCACCGACATTAGACAAATGATTTTTTTATTTGAATTATAAGAGAGTATCTGATGCTTTTTACCATTGTTTTATATTGAATTGATGAATGTAGAATTTAATTTTCTGTCTTTACGCAACATTCAAGAACATTTCACTCATGCTGTGTCATCTTAGAACTTTAGATAAAAGATAAAAAGAAAAGATGATATAAAAAAATTATATACCGTTAAAAAGTTTGGGGGTGGTAGGATTTTTTAAAATGTTTTTGTATTAAAATCTCTTAAAAAAGCTGATAAAAAAAAAGTAATATTGTGAAATATTATTACAATTTACAATAAAAAAAATGTAATTTACTCCTGTGAATTTTCAGCAGCCATTACTTTAGTCTTTAGTGTCACATAATCCTTCAGAAATCATTCTAATATGCTGATTTGGTGCTCAAGAAACAGTTCTTATATTATCAATGTTGTAAACAGTTGTGCTGCTTAATATTCTTGTGGAAACCATGATACATTTTTTTCCAGGATTCTTTGAACAGAAAGTTAGAAAGAACGGCATTTATTTGAAAAATGAATCTTGTGTAATATTATAAATATCTTTACTGTTACTCGATCGATTAAATGCATTCTAGCTGAATAAAAGTATGAATTTCTTTTTAAAATTCTTACTGACCCCAAACTTTTCAGTGGTAGTGTATTTCTACGTAAATTTACAAGTGCAATGAAAATTTATTTGAAAAAAAGAGAGGATATTTTCATAATTGCACAGCAGTACAGCATGAGGGAGGCTTCACATGGGCTCTCAGTAACGGGATTTGTGACACATGTTGCACCGACAGGCACGTGCAGTCAAGATCTCGATGTCGTCATGGTGACGGCCTCGAGGACAGTGCAGGCGAACTTTGACCTGAGAAAAGACAGACACAATCAGGTGATAAGACAATATTCTAATTCAGAAATCAATGTGAATGTACGTTTCTTAGTTAAAATGTTGTCAGTAGCCTATATTTTGACATAATTTACCTAATGGAATAAAATAGATTATTATTGCATGACTGGGCTGGTGGAAATTATGTTCTGAAACCCACAGAGGACCCGATTCATTAAAGTCTTTAGTCATAATAATTCATAATTGGTTCTTCTGATGTAAAATTGGCCATAGCAATATATACTAATGGTTGGACCATGTTAACAGTGCTGTACCTTGGCATCCTTGCTAATGGTGCAGCAGCGGGAAGCCGACGTTATGTTGTGGGTGAAATTGGACGCGAGCAGCACAGAGTAGCGGGACGGGAACGCGCTGGACTCGCAGTAGCCCACACAAGCGTACACCACTTGAGTTCCTCGACATGTCCCTCGCTTGTCTGTACGTATGGTCACGTTAAATGCTGTGCGTAGGCGTAGACAGAGTGCCAAATCAGTACTTTATTGTTTAGGAATGAGTTGGGTGCTCGCTTGTTAAAAATGAGGTCTTTTCCACTCACGGTAAAGGTGGCAGCCAGGAGTCAGGGCTTGAAAACTTCTGCTGAGGGGAATCAGCAACACCAACAGAACCACAGGCAACATAAGCACTACCTGGTCAGATGTTACGCAGCGGAACATGGTGATGTTAACCTGCCAGAGTTGAAGAAATTTGAGGAAATTCAATCAGGTCACTTAAAACATAGATCAGAGTCATTGTCAAATGCTACTACCGGTATATAATCACCAGTATTGTTTCTTTTCGTACTCTGGACCAGTGGCTAAATCTGAGGTCAACCATATGACACATCTTTTAATCTTTTAGTGCATAAATGATTTCATACCATTTACATAAACATTTAAGTCATTCAGCCCTTTACAAGAACAATTTCCCTAATTGAGAAAACTGACCAGACTTTCCTGACTATTGTCTTGGGAGTCCATTATTTGGAGTTGTCAAAATAATCTGAAAATTAATCTGCCACTCCTTCCTCGCAATGTGAACGAATGTTTCCATGCCGTAAATGTTTTTTTTGCTTGGGTTTGTATTTGGTACTCATTGAGTAACTCAGTTTTATTATCAGTCTGGTCCATGCATTCATCCTCTATGTGTAATGTATGAAACAATTTAGAACAATTATCAATGTGTTTTTTGTCCAGTATCAGAATATACATGTACACTTATTGGAGAATATGAATTGTTTTTTTATTTGTGAAAATTCTAATTCACTCTTTTTTTTCTTTCTTGCTTATACTATTGTTATGACAATATATAGACTATTAATATATATATATATATATATATATATATGCACTTTTTCACAACATAAATGACTATTGTTGCATGAGTAACATACATACACACACATACATAATTTTGGCTGCATGAAAGTACACCCAGATTGAATTAGAAACTGTTTAAGGCGATAATTGTGAAGCTTGTCTTCGCCGCCGTCTAATGGACGGGTGGATGGATAGATACATTTAAAGAATCACTTCCCTGAGGGGAAAGTCATGGAATTAACTTTTTGTCTGCTGCATTAATATTGGATAATAGAGAAATCAGCATTACAGTCGTACATTAATAATAATCTCACACCAATACATCCACATTACATTTATAATAACCAGATATTAGAATCTTAAAGGGAAAAAAGACAAGTTTACCTGTAGATGTGGATCCTTGTTCAAAGCCAAAGTGTGCAGATACGATGTTGACCTCGGGCTCAGACAGGTGCGCAGGTGTGTGTATGATCACTGGATGAAGTTCTTTCTCGCAGAGCACATATATGTAGTGCAGGTAAAACTGAGCCCTCAGCTTCCAGCATAGTCACACCCACTTACCAATGTGTCCTCATGCATGTGGATGTGAATAACGGGACCCTCCCCATCGCCATTATTCCACTGTTTTAGTGCGCTTGCTGTATTTCCCTTTCCCATCCCTTTTCTTTGTATGTTGCTTAACTTTATAAACCTTTGCATGTCCTTTCGCCTCTCTTGCTCTGGTCTTTGTCCAAGGGTGTAGTTTTGGTCTGGTTGAAGGGCACGGTCCCTAGTGAGAATTGTTTGTTTGTTTATTTTTTGCTAAATGGTCTTTTGTGGTATCATTCACACAAACAAAGGTGGTTGATAACATTCCTGCAATAAAGTAAAAACCTTGTTAGCAATTACTTGTTTACATAGGATATGTGATGTATTTTATATGATTTAAGCACCTAAAATCTTATCAGTTTGACAGAATTTTCTAAATCAAAGTGTCATGGTAGGTCCAACTAACTTTTTCTTTTACTGAAGATGTTCATTTCCTGTCATCTCTTGGAATATCCAAAAGTCAGGTTTTTCCTATATCTGTCATTATTAGCAGAACAACATTTTACACATGGAAAACCAAACCAATTATTAAATCAATAATTCAAGAAGGTCCATATACTTCAAATCTCTTGATTCTAACTTGGCCCTATTAAAAATGAACAGTTTTTGTAATTGTTTAAATCTAGCATTTGTTACAATAAGGATATAATTACAGGTAAAGACCATTGATGGCTCCTCATTAGGCCAATGTTAACCCGTTTCTTTCTTTTTTTTCATTTATGAAAAAAGCATTTAGAAGCAGCTACAACATGCCACAGTAGTAATATAAATATTTAGTGAAAAATCTATTCCCATAACAGATTACCTGTTATAAATTGTACAAGAAGTTAGTCACAATTTACTACAATAAATAACTTGATACATTTTATGTTGGTGCAGGATGTTTTCTTCTCTTTTCGTGATGGTTTTAGATCACTGAATTCTTGCATACACCCTTACGATTGGGCCAAACATCTCAAAAAAGCTGCTTTAGGTCTGTAAATCTAACAGTTCAGGTGTGAACATGCACACGGCATGGTAAACAATTTAAACAATAGACCTACTGTAAATGTGCAATGTTGTGACATTTTCAAAAATGTCAGCAATTAAAGGGATTTTCAGAACCATATTAAATTGAAAATGATGCATGTCCATCAATTGCAGACATAGCATATATCTGTATTAAAGTGAATTTTGAGTCATGTAAACATCTAATTCAAAACATCAACTTGAACATTTTTTTAATATCTGCAGATGTCAAAACAAAGGTAATTCTGGGTGGTGTTAGATACAGTTGAGAAGTCAAACTACTGAAGAAATACATTTTTAAAGTGAGGTTACTAAAATGTTTTGAGCCACTGTGGACCAGTGACAGAAATGAACTCTTCCATTAAGTAGGGAAATTTGCTCCCTTAAATGGATTTTCAGAAGGATTTTTTAACCTTTTATGTATAGCCTATATATTTTCTGTACTTCTGTAATGTCATCTTTAATGTTAAATTCTTTATTCAATACATTTAATTAGAATAATATGAAACTATTGGTCTGTTTGAAATCAATGTAAATAAAATCCATATTTGCACTGTATATGTGGCACAGAAGTGGCATAGATGTACAGAGACTGTTTAATGCAGCTCTGAGTTTATTTGGAAACGAAAATGGCCAGGTGGCGGCAATTCACTGTCCTACGAGATGAATGAATGAGTCTTTGAATCATTCATTCAACCAAATCATTCAAAACAGCTGATTTATTCAGGAACAAAGCGTGTGAAGCAAGTGACTGTCTAAGCATCGTTTGCTCAACCTGTTTGTCAGTAACAAAGATCCACCATTCAGTAACGAAACACCACTGTATTGCTCAGAGACGCTCAAAGATTATGTTATGCCTTTGTTTGGAACTTTTTTGTTGAGCGTTTTTGTATCAGATAATATTGTGTCTAAAATGTAAGTCATTTAACTTTAGCTTCTTGTTTATTGGACTATTTTATACAATTATTTTGTGCTGATATTCAAGAAAAAACAGCACATGTCCTTCTGTGATGATGCTGGGTTTCAGTCACGTGATTCTGATGACGCGCGGAATTCAGATGGAGGGCAGGGAGTGAAGAGCGCAATGGACGAGATGGAGGAAAGTCCGTAATGTACTACTTTACACCATACCTGTCAACACTCCCGTTTTTCCCGGGTTTCTCCCGTTTTTTAGCCCTATCTCCCGGACCCCTCCCGGTTTGTTATTTCTCCCGGGAAACTCCCGTAATTTGCATGGCCCAAACTCCTTTATGATTAATCGGACCAATATGTTTGTCTAATGTTGACCAGTTGCCAGATTGTATTAAATGCATTATATTCACACAATCCACAGACCATTTACAATTTCAACCCGTTTGTCACCTCATCCTGGGAACCTATAACCCAGTTGCGCAGTCGCGGAAAGTTTAACCCGAAAGCGAGCCGATAGACATGATGGCAGTTGAAGGTGGTGTCCCCGCAATGAAACTGAAGTAGCACAGTTTGTAACGCTTTGCTTCAGGAAGATTAGGGATAGCTCACAACTGAAGTTATTGCATGCAGAGGCCAGACAGACACACGGAGGCGATTGGCATCTCACACTCGCACTTTATTCCCAAATCGAACTCGTGTAGCCTAACTGTCTGTCACACGTTCTACTGTCCACATCGTTACTTAATAAACAAAATAAGATCAAAATTAGCATCAAACAAAAATTACCCGCATACATGGGGTGTTCGCATAGACAATAAAAGGGGTGTTCGAGGCCCAGGCACATACAATACAATACAACAATACAATACTGCCGACAGTTCAACAGGGAGCGCACAGCTCTTAAAGGGGCCACACCTTATTTCCAGTCGTTACCAACCCCCCCCCCCCCCCCCCCGGAGAAATCTCCCGGATTTTGAAAACCAAATGTTGACAGGTATGCTTTACACACTATTACAAGAGAACGATATAAACAAAAATTCAAACATATGTTGCACGTGATCCTTACGTTTTGAAGAGGAGCGATTTTTCAACTGAATTGAAAGATTTTCCTGCCATCGAGGCGGTAGATATCAGCAACTACCTCGTCTTGCAGACATACTTTGACTTTACAAAGTTCGGAAACATTACATGTTACACAAACATAGCCACTTAAGTTGTATTAACTCACCTTTGATGAAGTGATCACTGCACACAGGTGCTACTGGGCACTTTCCCATTCGGCTCCTCCCGACCGCAGACGTAGGTTTGCAAGCCGTTTTTACGGAGTTTTTCGGTCAATTTCTAGCATCTCCCCCCCTTATGAACAACAACTTTTGGTACACGATAAAAACTCCTCGTGGTTTGATCGATTTAAGTAACGATAAACGACGCAAAACATAGGCATTTTGAGTTTGTTATAGTGCTTTCTAAATACAGCAAATCACTTCCTGCCCTCCATTTGCATTTCGCGCCATGGCAACGCAGTGGCGTGACGTCATATGAAAACAAACGAGGGCGCCGCCATCTTTAGAATATTGTCTTTGAACTTCCGTTTTTGCGGTCGCTCTGTTGATTTACTTGTTGTAGAGTTAACGAAAGTTATCATGAGCATTTTAATGTTTATGATAAGCATTGTAAAGCATACGTCTTAACAAATGGACCTTGGGATTTTTTTTTAACGAGCCGTTCATTCATAACTAGGCAAGATCGCTGTGAAAATACAAACCGGAAGTCAAAAGACAATGAGCTCAGCGCGGAAAAGAGGTCTATACAGGGGATTTTTGCCAACACATCTTTACGGGCATTTTAATTAATGTTGGTGGACCTCACCCCACAGCATAATAAATGCTGAACATCTTCATTATCTCCAGAGGAGAATAGCAGACAAAGAGTGTACTACATGTCATAGTTTATTTGAATAGGCTATATAAAGAGAAATATTCCAATAGCTGTGGAGGTTTTTTTTTTTTAGAATAAAGTCATGACCAGATTATTCACTGTACTGTTCAAAACTTTGGGGCCATGAGAGTTTGTACTGTTTTATTTGAATGAAAATACAGTAAAATTGTGAAACATTATTACAATATAAAATAGTTTTTTTTTTTTAAATCCTGTTATGGTAAATCTGAATGTTCAGCATCCATTACTCCAGTCTTAAGTGTCACGTGAACCTTCAGAAATTTGGTGCTCAAGAAATATTTCTTATCATAATCAATGTTCAAAACAGATTTGCTGCTCAATACTTTTTGTGGAAACCTTGTTTTTGTGATGAATAGAAGTAAAAAAGAAAATGTTCTTTACCATTATAAAAGACAAATAAAGAAAAGAAAAATAATCAGACCTTACTGAACTTAATCAGAAAAATGATGTGGTAATTGATCATTGGATAAAAGCGTCTGCTAAATGAATAAATCAATGGTGATGCAATTTTAGTGCAAAAGCTAAATTAAAACTTCTTAACAATGCGTTCCTGGGTGCTGACTATACTAGCAAACTACTATTAATCCATTCACTTTCCAACATGCACAATTTATTATGTCATTGCAAATGGAATGGATGACATAACTCCTCATCCTCTCAACCCACCTCCCCACATCATGATCAGCATGATTCATACTTCAAGGCCTCCTGGGTTTTTGTCACAGGATGGAGTGTAATTATAAAGAGATATTAAGATGTATACAGGGCCAGCTTTTTAGAAAACGTTTAGAGCTTGATTGACATGGAGGTTTAAAGGTCGAGATGTGAATATAATTAGCTCATCAAGTGAAAACGTGAGACCATGCCCTCTCCTGTTGTTTTGGCAGCTGCTATACCCTCATAAAGTGCAAGCGGATGTATTAATAATATAATTCTTCATGACTCTCCTGGTTTCCAGGTTACAGCGATATGTAAACTCTGAGAATAAAAAAAGAGAGATAAATCTTGGCTCTGCTTTTCTTGAGTCATGAACCCAAAGTTAGAAGTCTTTGACAGCTTCAACTAATTCTTATTTGATCCTGTAATAATTTGCAAAGGCAGTCAGAAACAGGTGTGGATTTTGAGACAAGAGGATTGGGCATGTATAGCCTTGGCCGATGACCTCACCTTATTGAGAGTGGTCTGCCACACACACACAATTTAGCGGATGATGCAACAATACGCACACACTCAAACACACAAAACAACACTAAAAAGTGAACAAAACTTGATGTTCTAACAACTCCATTCAGGTGAATGCATAATAGAACAAGCGATGTAATTTCAGGCTTAGTGAGAGTGACATGCAACAAAAGGTATTTTTACCCAAAGCAACAGTTTGAAAATTTTTATGTATTTGAGACGCTCATACTGCGTAAATTAACACATTTAGAACCATTATTGATACGTTTAGAAGAAATTCACAAACAGAATGCACAAAACACCATAAATTAGGTTAAATAACAGACCAGAGGCTAATCTGTAACTCACCTTGAAAAAAAACTTAAAAACAGACTTTTAAAACAAAAAAAAACAACAACAACAAAAAACCAACAGGTTGGAACTCCTTAAGTGTCGAGGCTTGATGGTTTGAACTTTTTAATTTGCAGGACTCTTATGGAAAAACAGAGAGAAGGGAAACAGTGAGCTGTGAAAAGAGCAGGAAAAACATTAAGAAAACCATCTCATAACTTCATACAGATTCAAAACAGTCATAATTGTTGCAATTCCATTTGGTGTAGTGCAAAATTGACACTCTGCAGATTTAAATTAATATGTAATTTAGGCCTGGTTATCATAGACAGAGTTTAGATTAAGCCAGGTTAAAAGTCTTAGTTAAATTAGGACATTTAAGTAGCTTTTATAAACATGCCTTAGAAAAAAACATTACTGGAGTGCATGTTGAGACAAATCAATGGCACTGACATGTTTTAAGATATGCCAGTGCAAGTTGATTTCAGTTAAAACAGCTCAAACATACACTTTAGTCTGGGACTAGCTTATGCTTTGTCTGTGAAACCGGACATTAATGTCATATTTCATAAGATATTTTTTTTATATACATTTTCTATATATCCTAATAAGTTGTTAACAACATGTATTCATTACTTCAATGAGCTCATTGTTTCTGCCTTAAATGAATACATTGTTAAAGGGTTAGTTCACCCAAAAATTATGTAATTAATGAGTCGTTCCAAGCCCGTAAGAAGCATCGAAAATACATTTTGGTCCAAAAATAACAAAAACAACGACTTTATTCAGCATTGTATTCTCTTCCGGTTCTGTTGTCAATCCGCGTTCAGTGATGCTTATGACGTAAGACGCTGCTGACGTGTATTTGGTGCGCCCGAGCTTCGTTTACAGTCTAAGGGAGACGCACGCTGTAAACAAAACAATCTTCGCAAACATGTCTAAGGATTTCGACACAGAGGAAGACTTGCATTTTTTTGCCCAGCCATATTTATTTGAACCCGAATACACGGACACACCAGAACACGTCAGCAGCGTCTTATGTCATCAGCGTCACTGAACGCAGATTGACAACAGAACCGGAAGAGAATACAGTGCTGAATAAAGTCGTAGTTTTAGTTATTTTTGGACCAAAATGTATTTTCGATGCTTCAAAACATTCTAACTAACCCACTGATGTCACATGGAGTACTTTGATGATGTCTTTATTTCCTTTCTGGACAAGGACAGTATACCGTGTATACATTTTCATTGGAGGGACAGAAATCTCTCGGACTAAATCTAAAATATCTTAAACTGTGTTCCGAAGATGAACAGAGGTCTTACGGGCTTGGAACGACTCATTAATGACATAATTTTCATTTTTGGGTGAACTAACCCTTTAACTGCGTGACTTGTATATGTACATTGTATATGTACATTTCCGAAACACAGGTAATCTGAAATACAACCTGGACACAGTCACCTCTGATAGCAGATTACTCTAAATTGACATGTAGATACATGGATGTTCTGTAAAGCTGCTTTACGATATGTATTGTGAAAAGTGCTATACAAATAAATGTGAATTGAATTGAATAGATTTCTCACCTTGCAATTCTAGAAATGATGCCAGTGTTCTGTCCAGCTTCTGAATTTGGATCAGGACTTTGAGGGGCATCTAAACAAGGTGTTAGAGAGTCTATAAGATTTAAACTCATATTTTAGTTCATTAACACGTATTATTTGTAACTCATTATAGACCAATATTGGCCAAGACTTGATCATGTTAGAATTATCAGCATTGCCCAGTAACGGTTCACCACTTGTCAGTTACAGATTCTAGTAAACAATTTCTGTTGTAATTTTTTTTGTGAATTTGGAGGAAATGTTGAGTGGCATTGCTAGGTTTTCTGTGCCCCCTGTAGTTTATTGCATTGCCCCCCCTCGTGGGTGCACTCCAATGCCTCTTGGCCCTCTGTACACACAGTCCGCATTTCCCCCCTTAGCGACGCCCCTGGCCATTGGCCACCCACCATTCTTGATACTGATATTAGCATCGCCCATTGGAAGCCCATATCGAGAACTAATTTTAAAGTCCCTGTAAAGTCAAAATTAAATATGTGTTCTCAGTTTGTCACACCACAGAAAAATTTGTTATTAGCCACCCAGCCAAATTTGAATGATAAATTTGAAGTAAATAAAATAAGCTATCAAAATCTTGAAAAAATTAGCAGTATTCTCTGCTCTCAAACGCTGGGGGCGTGTCTGCTGGCTGCGCTGAAACCACGCCCACTCGCGGGAAAGCTGCCGACGGTGATATTAGGTGATACTGCTTTCGGGATGGGAGGATGAAGGCCGAGGCGGGAGATAGTCGGTTCAGCCCTATTGACCAGTAACAGCGGATTATCAGCCCAGTTATCTCAGACGAAAGTTTATAAATCTATCCCGTGTAAAATGATCACTACAGAGGCGGGTTTTGGTGGTGATCCTCTGCTCTCAACAAAATTAATCCACCTCTTCTTGATGTGATCGTTTTTCGGAAAATTAAATAAGGACACCGATTTGTTTTGAACGTGATCACATCCAGGTAGTACACATTTCCGTGACGAAGGCATAGCTAGCTAGCAAACGGTAGGCTGTACTAATAGTACTGACAGTAACTCGCGATGTGCTCTATTGTTAGGGGAGGGGCCAGCCTCAGGGGCTCCAGTGCGGAGTAGGAGGTCTCTGCGGAACAAAAGTGGGTGTTTCTAAATTTGTGGGTGTTTTCACACTGGTGGGTGTTTATAAATCATGCAATGAAAATGATGCCCTTCTCCCGACCCCACCCCTAAGACCTACCCACACTGTGACGTGGGCAAATCAGGAAACGCGGTTGAAAACGCCCCTCTGTTTATGGCCTCGCCCCTTGATCTGGTAGCTCCTATTACCGTCTGCAGAGACCTCTATTTGCCAGTGCGTCATCAAATAGGGGCGTGTCCAGGAGCTCAGGGAGTCCAGTGCGTCATCGAGCCCCCGTTTTAGTCCCGCCCAAAAAATCCGGAACACAGCAATGGTGAAAAACTCTTTAACAGTCTTACTCCACAATTCAGTTCTTTACAGTTCAGTCTTTATAATATGTTTTAGCAATACATTTCTAACATTTATAATGCGTTTAGAATTTTTTTTTAGAATTGCCTTAACGGGGACTTACAAGGACTGATTATTTGCTGGATGATCCCCAAAAAGAATAGTGCTTTAATGACTAATAAAAGAGAAAAGATGGGAATCTAATGGCACAGTTCTGCTCACATTGCTTAGTTTGGTCATTAACTAAATCCGTAGGCTTTTACATGATCGTTGAAAATGAATAAAGAAAAATAAATATTTGGAAAGACACTGATAGGTTGAATACGCAATTTACCATCATACACATCTGGTGCTGGTAGACAATTCACATCTGAATCAGCATGAATCTACAACAGAAAAGAAACGAGAGAAAGATGAAGAAAATACCAACAATGGATGGTTTCACAAATGAAAAGTACCTGAAACAGGTTTTTTATTTTTATCAGCTTCTATAATTAACATCATGGAGTAGTTATGCCACCTGAATGGGCTAATGTGTCAGATTGTGCACCCTGCAGGGGCAATTAAAGATGATTAACAATTGAGACAGTGTGTGTGTGAGTGAGTGATTGACAGAAAAACCAACACACACATTCATACACTAACCTCACTGCCACAAACCATCGCTTCTGCACCATTGGCCGAGCAATGGGACTCCCTGAAAGAGAGAAAAATCTATTGGATGTCTTTTTTGGACATATCTAAATTCTGTTCCCTTTTCCAGCACATTTAACATAAAAACAAAAGACCTGTTTTAGGCAAGTCTATAAGCACATCAGCCGGAGGGCTTGTGCACATACACACAAATTCCCTGTGAAAAGCCATCTATTTTCGACACTGCAGTAGGTGAGTTGTGTAAACTCCACTGAATTACTGCAGTCCTCGCCAGAATGAACCAACACCATAATTTCCCCATCGCCCACCACAAACAAAATGAGGACATGACGGAATTAAAAGTGCATGTCAAATTCTGTTCTCCTTCTGGCTTATTGATTTGTGCATCTCTTTCTACGCGGAGGAATTGGATGAGGTGGGATGTTATTTTAACAGCTAAATTATTATGTTCTGCCTGCTGATTGAGTGACAGCTTCATTGAGATGGCGCCCCATGCTCAAGCTCCTCTGCAGTTTCATAACTACTGCATCTGACTCAACACCTCATCACTCGGGTCAGCAATCTTATCAGCTTATCAATCATCACGGAAAACAAAGTGGAAATTCCCACAAATGTCTCCTGGGTTTGTGTCTGTCTGACAGCAAGAAAAGGTAGTCTACTTATAAACACCATCCTATAATGGTATGCTATAAATGATTGGCATCTATTTACTGTATGCAAGTCATGAGCTAAAGTTTAGGCTGATCCTGTGCTGCCGTTTTATTATTCATTATTATTTTATTTCCATTTATGTCCTATTGTGACACTATTCATCCAGAAAGGACTTTGAGGAAGTACAGATATGAGCCTGCATGTGTTGTAATAAAAAATAATTAAATACACTATGAGAGAAAGACAGATTTGCATAGGTTAAGGACAAGACTTGACAATGATTTTTTTTACCACATACATACAGCATACACAAAGCTACACACTTACTGAAAGCACTGAGAGTTTTCTGTGGTTGGTTTACTCTGCTTGTGTTGGCTCATAGTGCCCTCTTCTGGATGGCCCATTGCAGTGGTTTGGACTGTCCTCATTGGCTCACTAGCACACTGTGGTCTTTTCGATATAGAGTCCTGAGGGCATTTACATTTACATTTGTCAGCTCGTGACAATTATAAGGATATGAACAATCACCATGACAAGAAATGATGTAAAGATTTTTTTACATAGGGCCTACTCTATTAAGAAATGAACCACAAAATAAGCTTAACAACTCAATATAACTACATAAAGAAATGCATATTTAATAAGAGACACTCACCGGTGTGCTCCAGGAATTGGTATTTGTCACTGGTAAACAAGAGCAGACAAAGTTTATTCAGAGCATATGCCATAGTAAAGTGTTCAGGTAGCGTGCTGAGACTGAGAGACCTCCCACCTGCGCATTGAAAGGCTGGCTCACGATCCTCCACATACAGTGTGATAAGGAAGGGGTACGGAGACAGTTTTACACCCTCCTTCATGAACCTCATTTTAGACACTTGTTCCCATTTACTTTTGTCTGCAAGTGTTGTATGTTGTCAAGGGAAGTAATGGTCCATTATTTGTATGAACTTTTAGTTTAACTGACCCTGAATGCAACAGCAGTTCAGTTTTTTATTAAAATGACAAATATTTTAAAAAGAGTTCAATTTCAAGGCCCTCCAAAAAGGAAAATTCTGTTATCATTTACTCTTGTATAACTTGTATGACTTTCTTTTTTCTGTGGAACACAAACAAAAAAAGGTCTATAAAAAAAACATGTCAACGTTTTCTGTTGATACAAGTCCTAAGTCAACCCTAACCCCAAGTCAAAGGTAGCCAAAACTGTTTGGTTACTCACATTCTTCAAAATATCTTCTTGTTCAGCAGAATGAGCCATACATGTTTGGAATGAAATAAGGGTGAGTAAATTATGACAGAAGTGTCATTTTTGAGTGATCTATTTACTGAATCTTTTAAAGTAATATTCAGAAAAGCATACAGGGAAAAATGTTGAAATGCTGGGTTGCGAAGGGGTGAAGACCATCCAGGTTTGCAAGTACTGCACGCACAGCATTCTGTGAAGCAAAACACATCAGGAATGAAATCTTCCCAATTCCCAAAGTTTATGAATCCTATTTGAATCCAAAATTATAATCCTGATTTAAAAAAAAAACCTCCAGCTCCTCAGTGACTAGCATCCCCTCCAGCATGTCCTCCTTATCAATGCTATGAAAGGGAATATCCAAGTCAGATTTTTCTAGAGAAAATTATATTTTTCTGTTGAATAGCAAGTGTAAAGGTATATTCAAAATAATACTGCATATTTTATATAAAACAAATACAATAAGCTTGCATGTTCTTACTTGCTCATTTCTCCTCGTCTTATCTTGAATTTGAAGACTTGTTGTCCGGCCTGAAAAAATCTGGTTTCAGGTACAGGGAAGGAAAAGGCCTGGATTGACATAGTTACGTTACTTCATCTAATGAGGATGAACAGAATCTTCACTGAAAAAAAAGACGAAACAAAATACATACAAAAAACTATGGTACAGCCTATTTTATAAGAGCAATATTTATGTTTATGTTCATACATTTATGCTATAAATTGTGTACAGAAATCCAGAGTAGGCCTACTAAAAAAACCCCCTCTAAGTTAGCTAGCTAGGACAAATTATCAAACAAAGTGTTTCTTTAATTTATAAAGTCAACTTAGAAACGTTTAGCTTTTTTAAAATGTACTAAATGGAAATAGCATGGTTAATAAACACCCATAGGCAAAAGTATAAGTTACCGTAACGCCTCAAGTATTCGGCGCCAAATATGACGTTGAAAACGACTAAACTGAATAGCGCGGGCGCGTGTGGAGCTGTACCGTCCCGCCCCCAGGTCACGACAACAAACTCTGATTGGTCAAAAGCGTCATCCAGTGAGGTGCGAATCAGCTGCTATCTCTATGGGGACGAGAGTTCAACAGCAATATGTTCCGCCCCTTTATTGTCACATGATCAAGTTAGGTTGAGCAAGTTGTAAAACAGCACCTGACGAAGATAAGACTCTAGCAGAAAGATAAGACTCTAGCAAGAATTCTACCAGTATTACAGGTAGTACGTAGATAAATTAGCATTGTTATTTACATGGAACAGATCGTTGGACCTTGACCGTGTTGAAGTCACTGGCGTCTGTTTGTCTTTTCATTTTCAAAAAACCTGCAGGGTGAGTTTTTGTCTCTGTATTAATATAATTTTATCTTCACAGTAACTTACATGTAGATTACAAAATCTATTATTTTTAATCTCTGGATTTAATCTAAGGGGTGTTTCATTACGTCATCTTTATGTACTACAGTTTTCATAGTCTCCAAAGCAAGGCTTCCCCCTTTCATAATGACTGACCCTCAGCCATCTGTGCTTCTCAACACTGGGACTCGGATGCCTCTATTGGGACTGGGCACTTTCCGTTTGCAGGGTCAAGAGGACACTTACAATGCTGTGGACGCTGCTTTGACAGCTGGTTACCGTGCCTTTGACACTGCTGCAGTGTACCGTAATGAGGCACATGTAGGTCATGCCCTCCGTTGCCTTCTGCCCAAGCATGGCCTCTCACGAGAAGATGTATTCATTACTAGTAAACTGGGTCCCAAAGACCAGGGCCCCAAAGCTAGGGATGGTTGCCTGAGGAGCCTGGATCAGTTGGGATTGGGCTACATTGACCTATATCTTATTCATTGGCCAGGTACGCAGGGGCTGCAAGTGGGGGATAAACGAAACCCCGAAAACCGTGATGAAAGCTGGACAGTTTTGGAGGAGTTCTACTCGGAGGGAAAGTTTCGGGCCATTGGGGTGTCGAATTACACAGTAGCACACATGCAGGAGCTGCTGAAGAGCTGTAAAGTGCCCCCAGCAGTTCTTCAGGTAGAGTTCCACCCAAAGCTGGTCCAAAAGGACCTTAGGACACTTTGTAAGGAAAGAGGGGTGTGTTTTCAAGCATACTCATCTCTTGGAACAGGGCTTCTGTTATCAGACCACGTGGTTCTGGATTTAGCTAAAGAGTATGGGAGGACACCAGCACAAGTGTTGCTGAGGTGGGCTGTACAACAGAACATTCCAGTACTGCCAAAATCATGTCAGCCAGACCGTGTGGAGGAGAATGGGCGTCTGTTTGACTTTGAGATTAGCGAGAAGGATATGCAAAGGCTCTCTGCTCTTGATTGTGGGGAGAAGTTCTGCTGGGATCCAACACAAGTGTCTTAAAGACAACACATTGACGACATCCCTCAATGGATTTTCAATGACTCTGTGAAATTCCAAGGTTGTTCAGATGTATTATTTACATCCCACAATACATGTCTCTTTATTTCATACTTAGTTTGCTACTGCATCTTTTTATTTAATTGATTTTTTTTTTTACAAATTTAAAATGTAATTGCAAAAGAGATGTTTAGATGCAAACAGTATATTAAACCAGATTTGGAAACAAAGACATTTTGATATATAGCGCCAAATACTATTACCATGAAGAACAGTACTTACGTTTTACACTAGTGCTGCTAACTAAGTAAGAGGAACCTTTGGTTAAAGTGGTTTATTCGAGTTTTTATTAGGTTATACTTGTTACAAACAACAAAATAACGTCACAATGAAATGTTTGTTTTTTAAAACTAATTAAAAAAGTTACAAGGCATTGAAAATCTGTATTTTTTCAAGTAATACCAGTTATGATGGTGTCCTCTGTTCTTGCTCTCATAAGTATCAGACCCAGTCTTGTTTTTTGGGCTCTTGTGCTTATTGGTATTGTTGGTTGCAGATGATTCCAAGAGATTTTTATGACTCAGAGATGGTAATAAAACAGAAGGGCTCTTCTAAGTATCCAAAGTCCCTTTACAGATAAAAAAAAAGATTTTGTACAGAAAAAATGGTTAATAAATTCTTTAACAATTGATGTAGTATAAAATATCTTTGTCTTCTTTTGATGTGCTTTTGTTAAAGTATTTCATCTGAACCTAAAAGCTGATATGGCAGAGCGACAGAAAGTCTGTTTTGAACAAGCTGATATCCAGCTCACATTCACAATTTACTGCATAATATTCCCAGAGCTTAAGAAAAGTCAAAGGAGATTCTCCATTTTTGTTTTCTTTGTGGTATAGCACATGCCAGTGAGATACAGTTCATGCTTTTCAACAGTCAAGGGTCCCAGTGCAGTTCATGAAAAAGGTTTAAAACCAGTCAATAGAATTGTTCCTTCTCTTCAAAGCAGTGCATCCTTTTCTTCAGCCACCAATTGTTATGTACAGTAGTTCTTTTTTTCCTCTCTTCTTCCATCATTCATTCACTGTCAATCACTCAGCAGGGCGCGACTCAGCATCAGACTCTTTGTGACTCCAAAGGAAGGCCAACCAGCTGGGTGACTGCCGCATCTGGCGTGCTGTTCCTGCACTCTTCACCCTCTTCATCTGTAAGAGATTTAAGAGATAAGAAAAGCATTTTGATCTATTTTGTGGTAAAATACGTAGGTTAAACATACTTTTAGTTTATCTTGCATGTTCACTATTCTTAAAGGGTTAGTTCACCCAGAAATGAAAATTCTGTCAGTAATTACTCGCCCTCATGTTGTTCCAACCCCGCAAGACTTTCGTTCATCTTCGGAACACAAATTAAGATATTTTTGACGAAATCTGTGAGCCGTCTCACTCCTTCATAGGCTGCAAGGAAATTGCATCTGCCGGCCCAGAAAAGTTAGTAAAGACATCGTTAAAATAGTCCAAGTGACTACAGTGGCTCAACCTTAAGTTTAAGCGATGAGAATACTTTTTGTGCGCAAACCCCCCCCAAAATAACGACTTTATTCAACTATTCCTTTTCTTCCGTGTGGGCCTCTGACGCGAGTTCACGAGCCACGACGCATGTGCGAGAACTGAGAAGATGACGCAGATGGGTCTCGATGTAGTGTTTAAAATGTGAATTTCCTGGATGTCCGAATCGTGAGAAACCAGCGAGAAAATGTAAAAGTGCCTTACCAATGCCGCAAAATGAATGGCTTACCTTTCACTCTTTCCCATCAAATGATCATGAGCGTCATCTTCTCAGTTCTCGCGCATGCGTCGTGGCGCTCTCGTGAACTCACGTCAGAGGCCACACGGAAGAAAATGAATACTTGAATAAAGTTTTTTTTTTTTTGCAGACAAAAAGTATTCTCGTCGCTTGATAAACTTAAGGTTGAGCCACTGTAGTCACTTGGACTATTTTAACAATGTCTTTACTAACTTTTCTGGGCCGGCAGATGCAATTACCTTGCAGCCTATGGATGAGTGAGACGGCTCTCAGATTTTATCAAAACTATCATAATTTGTGTTCCAAAGATGAACGAAAGTCTTGCGGGGTTGGAACAACATGAGGACGAGTAATTACTGACAGAATTTTCATTTCTGGGTGAACTAACCCTTTAATAGAACTAGGATATATTTTTCTGATTGTCCAAACCCTCCTCTGCTCCTATATGCCAAATAATTGTTTTCTTACCCCTTTATCAAGGAGGATGTCAAACTCATCACTCATTCTCCTTAGCTGTTGGCCATATTTCTTAGCTGCCCACAAAGCAGGAGGAGCAGAGCGAGATCTAGGCCTGAAATCGCCTTCATCTGCTGCCCCGGTCTCCAGCAGATCCTCCTCATTCATCGAGAGATTCCTCTGTCTTCCCAGTTGCTCTCCTACAATGATGTCTGATATTGAATGACCCTTGCCTGATCAGATCAGACCTCACATTGGAATTCATTTAAAACATTCCTTCATGTAAAATAAATCGCCTTTTGAAGCTAAAACCAATGCCAACACAGAGATTATTCAGAGAAAAAAATTGTTTTGAGATTCACTTGTAAATGTGCAGTGATGTGTTTCCAGGATACAGCAGAAATGACGTGTGTTCTTATAACTATCCCACAGGCCCTTGAGACTGACTCACCTTTAAGCCTATCAGACACAGTGAGGTGCTGCTTTCTCTCTGACGATCCACTGTTATGTTCTGTCTGGCCAGAGTCCTCAAGGTCTTCTGTTGTCTCTGACTCGTTGTCAGAGATAACGAACATTTGCGCCATGATTGAACACTATGTTAAAGAAAAAAAGAGTTGATTTTCATTTATGCACGTCTAAGTTTGCTGTTTTAGTAAATGGAGTCAATGGTTATTGTACTAACTTTTTTTTTGTCATAACTGCATATGTGCTATTCCACATTATGAATTAGCTTATCCTCAAACAGATCAAATAAGAGCAGATGAGGGATCAGCCATAAGCTACTGCTGAAGATGAGGCAAACAGTGCAATTCCTCATGATTAATAATACAAGCAACACCTCACTCTTGAGACACCAACACCACCAAACAGTGTTATGGTCTAAACTCAGACAGGCTTTCCCACCGCGATCGTTTATACTGTAAACTGACACAGACACATTTCTCAGAGCTGACTTCAGAGAACTATCCTGCTTTATCGTACACCGACCTGAACTACAATAAACATAACAATAAACCCCAGTATTCCTAAGACCACGCTTTAAAACGCTTCGCAAACAGCCAACTAACGTTAGTTATCGTGTTTGCCGATTTTCTTACCATGGCAACCCTAATTATTTTTTTTTTTAGGTGAGATTTTAATTTCACTCGTTCAAATATAAAAACGGGAAACTTCTGTTTACAACTTTGGGACTCGGTGCCACCCAAAACCATTACAATGAGGTTATACCGTCCAACGACTAACTTTCTAAAGTTTCCGTCCTGCTTCGTAGTAGTTTCAACATCGCTTCTTGCATTATTTAATTAGTAATATTTCAAATATCGAGTTTCTTACCGATTTCTGGCGTCTGAGGTACAGACTTCCGGGTGATCTGGGTCTCTGGTGTTTTGGACTGACTCTGTTTGGACTCCTTCTCCTTCTCTCCCGACACTCAGCCACCCGTGCTGTGCGGAAAAGAAGCGCAACAGGATTTCACTTCAGACTCAACATAGTGCAGGAGACTGAACGCGAAACAATGTAAACAACAAATTAAAAAAATCAAGAAATAACATACAAATAAATACATAAAAATAAGCACAGGCATTGCTGTTGTTTTAATGAAAAAGTTTTAGCTATAGAGAAATAAATCGGAATCATGTTTTAAAATCATGTAACGTTACCCTTACAAGATATGAAGAATCATTAGTCTAATAATAAAAATGGCGAATAAACAGCCCGGGGTCCTCCTGACTACTGATTACCCTGTTTTTGCATTACCTCACTCAGTACATGGCTATTTACTAAATAAAGGAATACATGAAATACTGACGAGTTTTTTTTTATTAGTTTTTTATTTATTTATTTGTTTAGTTTGTTTCGCGGATGAGTGGTCAATTATAGAGTGTTGCTACGGACATTGTTGTTCATAAATTAATGACAGCCACAGAGACACTGATAACCGAAAATATTTGATTTATGAAAGCCTAATGATAAAAAATATGTGCTTTTACGATAGAGGCTGTGATAATGATTATTTTTAATCTTTATATTTTAATCTTTATATTTTTATGCCCGAATTATTACCATGTCATGCCAATATCCATTAACAATGCTGGCACTGATCAGTGAGTGAATGCTGGTTTGTTTTGTACACGAAGAAGCGTTAGATGTCGCTGTCTTGCAATCTTTTAGTTGATGCTAAACTTTTACAGTGCTACAGAGTTGTAATAATTAGCATCAACATTCTCATATAGTATAATATATTCACTTATTAATATAAAACTTTTTAAAATGAAATTTCTGGCTTTAGTTTTCTTTAACTGTGACAAGTTAAAAACTTAATTATTGTATAATAAAATAAAATAAAACACTTTTTAAATGAAATATCTCCTCCATATGCCCTCATTAAAGTATTACAGACAGGGTGTTTTTGTTTGTTTGTTTAATAAAAAACTTGTTTTGAAATTAATTAACAGTTGAACAGTAATACCGGAAGTAAAAGCTCCAGTATTTTCCCCTCTCTCACTCTGGGCGCTGTGTGTGTTTTTTCTCGAGCGCGTCGCGAGGATATGGAAGATGGCGAGCGCGGAGACAGCGGCAGAGCACGAGCGAATCCTGCGTGAGATTGAGAGCACAGACACTAACTGCATTGGACCAACGCTCCGGTAAGTCTCCATTAACCGTACAGGAGGCTCCCGGGCTAATGTGACATTTGGGTTCAAAGGTGCCCGGAGAGCCTGTTCTCCTTGTTCCTTCAACTTTTCACTTTAGAGACTTGCCAGGAAATCTTCCATTCAAGTTGTCAGGCTGGGAAAGTAGGTGCTCAGTAGCGGTTTAGAGAAAGTTTTAGTTAGTATTCCTCTCACATGGCTCCCTGCAGGACTCCCGGAGAGAGCGGGCGGATATTGGAGTATAATGAATAATGCTCTTTATTTGAAAACAAACCAAACGAAACGTTTGCACTGTGTTCTATTGTTGCTGTCCATTGTATTTAAGGAAGTAACCCAGGCTTTTAACTTCTCCTCAAAATATTGGCACTTTGTTTCCCATTGTAATGGGATCATTTGACTTTTTCTTACATTGTATTTCTGCGTCAGAGCTTGATGGTACATTTGTTTTGAATGGACATAGTTATGGGATAAATTAGTTAAAAGTTTCTTATGAAGAATGATCCAAATGAACATAGTTATTTCTTGAGGAGTTTCAACTTTTTAACTAGCTTGAGCTAAATTAGCAAACCATAGATTTCAGTTAAAGGTCAGCATTTCTCTGTCAGATGTGGTTGACATTATAGAAAAGTATGTGTTATGACAGAGTTAAATAAAATCAACAATCCTGTAGTATGTTAGATTAGTTGGTTCAGGTTTAGTTGATCTTTAATTGCGTATATTTAATCTCATTCAGTTATTTTTTTTAGCCTTGCCTACCAATATGACAGCAGCATATATGTTATGACTCAACTAATACTGTTTATGGTGAAGATCTGCTGTGATTTTTTTCAATGACAGTTAGGCTATTTGAACTAAAGGTCAAAAGATTCACAATGTCTTGACTCTTGAGCAAGTACACAGAATGTAGAGAGCATAATGTGGACAGTAAATTTAAGGGTGCCTTTTCCACTTACTTTCCTCATAGTTAACCTGCATGTCAACTATGTTGATACAAGTCAAGTACCAGTTCACTAATTGAATCCATTTCCTGTTACTTGGCGACCAGTTTGTGTTTTACATGTTGTTTAGATAGTGGAACGGTGTGATGCTAATTTTGGTACTAGCAGGGTGGTGTGTGGGGCACATTGATAATGACATATTCTCACACGCTCTGGTGGGACTTTCATTTACAGAATGAGGTGACATTACGAGCACAGCCTGAATTCATGGCCTTGGTCATATTTTCATCTTTAGTTATAACATTGAACATTATTGTATGTGGTTCTTTTACACCAGCCCCATAAGACAGTGCACCTAAAAACACAAGGAGCTGTGTTCTTTATTATATGGCAAGTACAGAACAAGACAGTAGAGCTAATGTTTGCTGGCTAACTAAAGAAAAACAGAGAGAAATGTAGCTTTTTGTCTTTTTTTGTGTGGTAAAAAATGTTTAGTGCATGGGGAATGATAAGTTTAATAAAAATGAAAATTTTATGGTTAAAATCACAATGTAATGCTAGTAGCAAAAGATTTTTTCTTTCATATTTTGATGTATATGTGTGTGTAAAATGGGTTATCGAAAAAGAAAATGTAAGGTTCTATCCATCTGTTATTAATTGGATGAAAGCGTATCTGAATGCAAGTTTGCATTCGCTTGTATGAAAAAGAATGCGTTTAAGCGAACTAAATTCGCCACCAGAGAGAAGTCTGTTGTTTCACCTGGTTTATGTCCTTTTGATTAAAAATTACAAGCTCAAAAAAGAAAAGAAAAAAGATGAAACATGCGTGGATGAATCGTACACAGTGATGCCGACCCTATGATCCAATCCAATTGCAAAACCAAACACTGTCTTTGCTGGATATTTCATATTGCTTGGGAATTTTCAAGCGGGGAAGAATTTAAAGAGTTAAACAAAAAAAATTAAGACAAAAATGAAGAACATTTTAGGTATTGTGACTTTTTTCATGGCAATTAAGCATGAAAAAATCTAATTCCAATCCAGTCTACATAAACTGATATAAAAATATATATATTTTTTTTAATCAGATATAAAAATACTGTATCGCACTGTATCATTGTTTGTGCAGAATTTGATTTCTTTTATAAAAATGTGACCTGGATCTTTTAGATTGACCCTCAAGAACATAGTAAATCCTGTATCCCTTCAAATTACCCTCTGTTCAAAAAATTTAATCTGGATCAGAATGATCTGGATTTGGATATCCAAGGTTTTGCTTTCCAGGATCAGGTAATCCATCTTACTTTTGTGTTGTTTTTTTAAAAGCAAATTTAGATTGGATCACTCAGAACCAGATACACACTTACCAGTTCTCTAAATGGGATCTTCACAGATCACAATGTAGGCTACCAACAGTTAGAATAGTTAATGTGGGGTTACGAAAACCCAGCAGGACTATCAATTTATTTATATAGCCTATTCAATTTAATTTTCTATTTAGCCTATAGATAGGACTACATACTTTATTTATTAAAATTAAACTGTATGTGTCCATTGATTGTGAAGTTAGACATAGAAAATTGCAGATGAAGTGCATGGCGCTGCATGTTTTTTCTTGTTATGAATTGTATCCTATTTTCCGTTATTACGCGCAGTGATATGGAACTGTAATGCGGTCAAACCTGCCTGGAACTACTTTAGCCGTGCGTTTCCCTGAAAATAATTGCACACCTTAGAACGTTCTCAACCAATCAGAATCAAGCATTCAACAGCCCTGTAGTATAAGTGTTTTTATTTGAAGAGAATGGCACAATAAAACAATGCAAACATCCCCTTTCATTTTAAAATTCCTTTTAAACAGTCAGACCCCTACCCTAAAGGGACACTTTTTTTTTTTAGATAAAAAACATTTGTGAGGGAACGCAAAACCATTGAAAGATAATTGTTTCAACACAAATATACATGCAATAAAATATGCCGTATTTTGACTGGTTCATCTCTGATTGTGTAATTGTAATTAGCCTAATATACAGTGTTAAAAACTGCTGAAGGTTTTTTTTTAAAAGCTTTTTTCTGATCTGTATTGAAAGACATAATAGGGACCCTATGTACTACTTCATCACTGTAACGGTTAAACAAAAATTAAGTGTAACATATAAATAAATATTTATACTACATGAATCATTGTATTATTTGACCAATTTTAAAGATTAATTACACTTTGTTCCTGAAATCCACCCTGAATCCACCCCTTCTGCTGGGATCAGGATAATCCTGATATTTTTGGACCAAAGTTATCCTAATCCTACTAAAAAGTTGTAAACAACACATACTGAAGGGTTTGATCCAGACCAAAACCTAAATTAGATTGATCTAATCTGATTTCAGATCTAATTTTTTTTTTTTTTTTTTTTTTTAATCAACCCATTTTCAAGATTGAATAAATCCAATAGCTGAAATCTGATCAGATTACTTTTAAACAACTGGGCCCAGGTATTTTTTTAATCCATGTTAATCCATCATATACAGCTCATATCTCTCCTGCACTGTTGTACTGCACATTAGAAGGACTTCAAGTAATTCAGCGACTTCCCATGTATCGTATTGCTGGGCTGCCAACTCTCACGCATTCAGCGTGAGACTCACGCAATTGACCCAATTCTCACGCTCTCACGCCACACCCCCGATTTCTCACGCTGAAGTGTCAACCCGGTCGGTCAAATGCCTGAAAGATGAGTTTATCTATAGATCTACCTGTTGAGCCACTCGTGTTTGACTAGTTATACCGCAAATTAGTTAAAATATCCAGTAATCTAGAGCGAGCGTGCATGCGAGACAGATATTGTGCTCCAAACCACGCGCACGCACGGCAGAGAGGGAGAGCGAGCGAGAGACCTTGCGTGTGCAGACAGCCCCCCCCCGTTGGAGAAGTCTCACGCCAAGGTAAACTCAAAAGTTGGCAGCTATGCCTATTGTAAGGTCAAGTTGTGTAGTAAAAGCATGGGTCCCTGACTTTTGCCAATTGACTGTGCCGATCTAATGGACTGCATGTTCTTCTAGATGTTTCCTTAAAGTGCTAAATTTAAAGACAGTGGAAGGCTTCTCACTTTCTGATGTGCTTTTAATGGATGGTACAACACATTATGAGACTAGGCTCAATAAAATGTAAACAAGCTAATCAATGGCAAATTTTTTTTTAATGGTTGGCTGAGATTGACTTCCTGGCTCCGAAACACTATCTCCTCTGTCTTTTTTTCTTCTCTCCTCAATTTAGATGTCTGTTTGAGCTCTTTTTGTTGCCATTTTTAAATGCTTCTCATTTAAGCTCAGATGCAGTTGATAGTGCTTTACCTTTATTCTGTTGAGGTAAGCAGGTTTAACATCCTCATATGTCTAAATTAGTACCTCTTTCTAAAGACTGAATTTTCTGCTTTTTGTGGCACAGCTGTCAGCGAATGTGACTTGCTTTCACATGAACAGTGTGTGTTTTGTTAGTAGATACAGCGTATGTTGGCATCAGAATTTGTACCATGGGCTGTCTGTGTTATATTGTGTCCATGTGATGTCTCATGGAACATGTTTTCTTTCCAATGTGCACAATCGCAGAAGCTTGTAATCACAAAGTATTTAAATGAGAAGAGCTGTGAGAGAACTATGTTTGGCTTTATATGAAGATGCTTCTAGCAAGACTTCTGGGGCCCTAGGTCTGAAATTGTGTGTTGTATGAGAGAGAGTGAACGCTGAGACAGCCTGGGCTGATCTGTCTTAGTGAGTCAGTTTCTCCAGACTGTACTGCTTCCACTCCCGCCCAACTCAAACTATAATTACTTGATTATTTCGGTCAGTCTCTAAATGGACGGGCTATGGCTAGTAATTTAAATCGCTTTATGATGCCACTGCAGTACTAATGTAGTGTGCTCTGCAAGTCGTTTTTATCGCTCCATTGAAGAAGTGATTGGCTATTTCATAATCGTATACACGTCAGGACTTGTGATGACATTCCAATGGTTAAGCCCTGTAGCATAATTCACATTAAAAAAAAAATCAGTCTCCTTT